CGCCGGGCGCCCCATCCCCTCCCAGAACGGCAGGTCGCAGAGCGCCAAGGCGCCGCTGCTGCGCCAGGGCTGCCTCGAGCCCGGCAGGTGAGTGCCGCCAGCGGGAGCGCCCAGCGGGCCGCGGCGCTTCCAGCCGCTTGTTGGTTTATTTGCAGCCTCTGAAAAATTGCTTGGAGCCTTTTGACTGTGGCGCGCGTAGGGAGATTCCCGACAGCCTGATAGTTTCTGTCAGGATAAAAGCCCTGACAGCTTCAAGTGCCGGTCTGTGCATCAGCTGAGCTCCCCGAGACCCTGTCCAGAGTTAAAACTGTGCAGGAATCTCTCAAAACATCTGGAAGGATTAAGCCCCTCCTCTGACCTGTGAGACGTACCCGTTTCCCTGTTTGCCTTTCTTGGGAGCTTCCCTCTGAAACTTCTTTCTCCTTCCCGTTTGGAGACTCTCCAGCTAGTTCACATGGGATGTGGCTCTTGCAGGAGCACAGCTTCTGTGCTTGGTCGAAAGAGGCCCTCACAGATGGGTTTGGACCTCCTTGGAGGCACTGCCTCCTTGCAGCCCTCCTCTCCATCTCCAGTGAGTGACCATGCAAACTGCAGAACTTCTCCAGGATTCTGGCCTGCTGGGGAAGCAGCTTCTGCAGGCTGCTCACAACTTGTGCTTCTCGCAGGCCCTCTCAAAAAATGGCTTTAAATAGCAGTTGTTCACCCTTTGGGTGGCTGACTTAAGTTAGCAATGTGAGTACCACAGCAGCTTGCAGAGAAAGGCAAACAGGTTTATTCTCTTTAAGCAAATGGAAAGGGGTGCAGTAAGAATAAGCATTCAGATGGCCTTGCTATGCTATGCTTATGAAGAGAAAAATAATGTGTTTTTCACCAAGATAAACTGGATATTTTTTTTCCACTGGCCAGGTGGCTTGCAAACAGGAAACCCTGACAGTTCAAACTGAAGGACTTGCTGACTTCACTTCTTTGTAATAACTTTAAAGAAGTCACTGATTGAGTTGCATAATCAGCAAATTTTCAGTCAAAACAGCTTTGTGACAACTTGATTCTAAGCTGGGCTTTTTTTCTCTCCCTTTTCTTATTGAGCACTAGCCAGAAGTCTTATGTAGATGAAACTGGGCTGATTCTGATGTCCCTCCTAACACGCTTTATTGCTGTTAAGTAATGTTTAACTGTGCAGTAAGAGTATCTTTTTTTTGAGGCTTACAAAACTTAAGTTTCAATTTTTTTTGAACTTGGAAAAATTTACCCCAATATTTTGTATTTAAATATTCTGTATTTTATAACATATTCTAGCAATGCGCTTAAGTTATTTACAGTAACAAGAGAAAGAAAAAGGCAATGTGATTTATGTTATGGAGAGCAAGCTTGAAAGAGCATTTTCTGACATTTCAGAGCCTCATTTTCTGAATTGTTTTGAGAACAAATAACCCTGAAGAAACAAGAGCTTCTGGCTGCTCTTCAGTGCCATTAAAATGTTTCTTAAAAGGCATCAAGTGTAACAGAAGGGTCAGTGTTATCAGGGAACCTGCCCAGAAGTGCACTTAGTGCAACTTATCGTCTGGAAAGCAGAGAAACTGTAAGCCAGGAGGAGGTATTGACCAGTAATTTGGGTGTTTTGTGTCCGTGCCCACCTCCGTTCTGACCCACGTGCTGTATTTTCTTGTTGCCCGCACAGCCCAGTTATGGGGGTCCGGCGCGCTCGCAACGGGAGCGAGTCTGCGCCGCCCGGTCTCCCTTCCTCCCTCTCTGCCCCATCTTTCCTGAAAAACTTTTACCCGGGCTCGGGAAGGTTGCTGCAGCACCCAGAAAGTGACTTTTCCAGGAGGTGAGAGCGGCCTCGGCGCACGCGTGTCACCTCTCCCACCCTGCCTCACGCTGCCACCTCTCTAACCAACCCTGCGCACGTGGCACCAACCACCGAGCAGGCCTCGGACCAAAAAAGCCCATTAAAAATAGAGGCCTGTCTGCTGACACCCACTAGCTGCCACCTCTCGCTGCTGCAGTGTTGCAACACTGCTGCATCGGTTTGTCACTTGAAATGCACTTATTACTACTGCTATTTTGAGGAGCGTTCCGCCAGTTTAACGCTTCCCGTGCCGAATGCTGAAGCAGCGTGTGTTGCTGTGATCCCTGGCGTGTGGAAGCAAGGAGAGCGCAACGTGGCGGGAGTGCGGGGCTAACGTGGGGCGTCTGTGCACGGGAAGGGGGCACTCGCGCTCGGCCTGCCAGGCACTTGCCACTAACAGCTCAACAGAGGGAATCGCCAAATGGCTTCAGATTAAAGGGAGTGGGCAAGAGGGGGAGATGCGAGAGGGGCTTTCTCACACCAGTACAAAAGGCTCTGAGTATGTGGGTGGAATTTGCACTATGTTTTAATGTAAACATACGTCCTGCTTCAGAGAGATATATATATATATATATATATGTATATACACAGACATATATGCACAAATACGTGCACACACAAAACACACATATATATAGACATGTACGTATTTTTTGTGAGTTAAAAGCTGTAGAGAATAAGATGCGGGTATGCTTTTGAACTTTTTTTTTCTCTTTTTTTTTTTTTTCATGCACAAATATACACACACAAAACTCACATATATATAGACATGTATGTATTTTTCCTGAATTAAAGCTATAGAGAATAAGATGCGGCTATGCTTTTGAACTCTTTTTTTTTTTTTTTTTTTTTAACACCAGTTGCCAACATTTTTAATTTCTTCTTTTCAACAACTCCTTTTTCCCATCTTCAGTCTGTCCTTGTGGCCCGAATTATTCTCTGGTTTCTAGTGCTGTTCATCTTTAGATTCAAAGAGCAAGATGTGTCTGTCTTTGAATGTGGCTCTCCCTGGGTCATTCAAGAAAATCTTCAGGTCCCTCAAGAAAATCTTGTGGAGTTGAAATAGGTGCTTTTGTGACTGCTGCTGTCCTTCCTTGGAAAATGGCAATAGGTTGAGTTCTTAATGTACAAAACTGTTGATGAAATGCTGGGTTTTGGACCTGTCATGACTGTAATACCTGGGGATTTCTGTTGTATGAGATGTGGTGGAAGTTATTCCAGGATGGTCTTAAATGTTTCCACCTGCCGGATCGCAGTTTCATTAAATACACTCAGATTAGTTTGTAATTTCATTTTAGGACATATTGTTATATTTAAACTAATATGGCAGACAAATGAGGTAGAGTCGGTGTTAATATACAGTCTGGATTGGTCGCATCTCATAACGTATAGATTAGTACAACAAGATACAAAGTATGGGTCATCTCTCCAAGTACACTGTATCCTATCTTGATTTTTTTGGCATTGAAAACGTCTCTGGCCTCTAAAGTGCGACTGATGTACAGCATGCAGCCAAAGCTGTGATGCAGAGGCAGTTACAACATCACTGCTTGGAAGGGCTCTGCAGTTCTGGTTCTTGCAGCAGAATAAGTGTGTGTATACATGCAACATGCAGCCTCTCCATGAGGCTGGTGCATGGACTCTGCCAAAGCCCGCAGCTTTGCAGCGGCAGATATCCTGGGTTCCCATCCTGGTAGAGGGACCATGTGACCCAATCCTTGCTTGCTTATTTTTAGGATGCCTTTCCAAAACCACTCTTAAAAATGAAAGCTTTGAGGATGTTACAGGGAGTTGAGAAAGTTACAGTTTTGAGGATGGAATAATTTTCTGCGTTGCTCTACTTTTGTGCTCAAACACAGGTGAACAGGCAATAAGCAGTGCATGGGTTGAAATCTGAGAAAAGAGACTACCATCTCATCCAGTGTGGAAATAAGCTTTAATGTCAACTGCTCTAAAGCTTCTGTGCGATAGCAGGCCCTACATAAAGGTAGGGTTGCCTGTGTTTGTCAGCCCATGCTAAACTGCTGTGATGCCAGAGCAAGCAACGGGTAAGTGGCTTATTATAGTGGAAATTTAGGAAACTAGTGCTTAGATTTAGGGGTGTGCAGAGAAGTGAGGAAAAAATAGCTTGCCTGTTACAGGCCACCTCTTATTTGGTTTTCACTACAAGTTTGTGTTCCCTTCAGCTGGAAGATAGCGAGTTGAACCAACTTTCAGGGTGGTTTGTACAAGAAGCTGAATTCTGTTGAATGTACATTTCTGGAAGTGGGAATGAGCTCAGTAGTAGATTTGTGCTGTAATGCCAGCTAATTTATCAGTGAAGTGTCTGAAATGTAATTACTCCTCTTGGCTATGTGTTCTGCTCGAGGGTTTCATTATAATGAGGTTTTGAACTGTAAGGTGGGAAAAAATCTGCAAGTTAGGAGAAATTCCCAGAAGAAAAATGTATTGCTCTTTAGGCTCCATAGTGTGCAAGCTTCTGATACTATTTAATCTTGGATTTCTGCAAAATCTCTTTTGTGGTTTTTGTATATTTTTCTGAGTGCTTTCCCTTTTTCTCTTGAGAGCATATTTGTGAAAATGGGATCTCATTAGCTATGAGTTTTACTGGGAACAGCTGAGCCTAACCTGTCACGATAGGTAAGTTATAGTAGCCAAGGCTGAAGTGTTGGCGAGTAGTTGGGTTCAAGTGAAGGGAGTGAATATGGCAAACGTAGCCAGAAAGCAGTGACCAATGAGTAACTCTGGTATGCCAGAAAGTGTCGCTCAGGTGATCCAACTGGCATTTCAATTGGCTAATGAGGAATAAAATATATTGTCCCACCGATGGCTATTTGAGCTTGCAAATCTATTGATGAAAGTGCTTGTCATGAGGTTTGTGAATAGGAGGAAGTTCCCCCCCCCCTTATTTCCTGTGGTTCCTCTTCCCAGAGAGGACCCCGTTCTACCCTGATGGGCTTGACATGACATGTCCTTAACATTCTTGTGTAAACATAAAGTAAATGGCAACTGAGTGCAGTGTGGCCGGCAAACTGTAAATTGTGTAACTGTTAGGGCATGCTAACTTAAAACATAGTTAAAATTAGATGTTAACTTAGTTAAAGCTACAGTGCATTTTCCTCTTTAAGAAGAATCTTGGTAACTGTGCCTCCATGAAGTGTCTTCTAGCTTGAAACATCACCCACATTGTGCTGAGGTGAGGTTCTTGGTGGTCTGACCCCACATATCTTTGAGACGACATATTTAAAAAAAAAAAAAAAGACAACTTTTCTTGGAGTTCTGGTGGACTTTGGGCATGAGCAGAGCCAGTTTTGGCCTGAATTAATGTTAGGAAGATGTTTGATTTGTAGCAGTTGAGCGGGCTTATGCGTATAAGGGTGAGGCTGGGGAGGTGCGCGCTGAAAGGCAGCTCGGCTGATTATGAGTTGGTCTTTCAGCATTAGCCTCTCTATAAGGGTAACTCAAACTGCCTTTGCACAAATTTAGACAGGGACACGAGCTCGGAGACGGCTGCCAGCGAGATGCCGGGTGCAGCGGCTCTTACCCCATCACAGAGCTCTTCGTCTCACCTGGTCGGGGGAGGAAAGTGGGCATTTCTAGGGTACAGTTGCTCCCTGTAGTATCATCTGAAGGTGACTGTCTTCTATTACTGTGACATTTTCAGAGCTGATCATGTCCGTTTATCACCCTTTTTGGGGGAATGCTAATATAGCCCGTTGTGCAGGCAGTGGGAACGTCCATATTTAGCTTCCTTTTTTAGGCTTCTGCCAGCTGAACTCCTGGGAACTGGAATACTAGCTGTACTGATATCTCTGGGATTTGGTACCCTCTTGGCCTCCAAATTGGTCGGTCTAAGTAGGTTGAGTTGTTTAAATTGCCACTTGGAGCCACCTAAAGAAGACGCAGACATGAAAGCAAACTGGCAAGAAGTGCAAAGCTTGGTGTGAGCAGCAGCATTTATTCTTGGGTCAGCTGGCTTGCAAGAATTCCAGTGCAAAGTCAGTCAGTTAAGCATTGCCTAGTGAGTTCATGTATAATGGGATCCCTTTGTGTTTCTTGGAATAGTAGTCTTTGGGGAACACTTCAAAGGATAGCTTTGGAAAGAAATTTAAGTAAATGAAACCAAGCACTAGGCATGTTTGTAACATGAAGAAGTCTTTTTCTTCAAGAAGTCTTACTTACTTACTTACTTACTAATTGTCTAATCATCTTCGCAGTATGCATTATCCAGTAGAAGAGCAAATCGTGATGATGTTTTAGTGACTTGGATTGCAGTTATCTGAGATTAAAAAGTTGAAACAATCAGTACTAGGTGCCCCTTATATTTAGGTTGTTGGTCATAACTGCTTAAGGTTGAAAATGCAATATGGTGAGCTTGTAGTCTTGAATTTTGTGTTGTGTACAAACTCATTGAAGCCGCCTGGTTTCTTTCCGCGGTCAGTAGCTTTATGGAGGAACACAGTTCTTCAGTGCTGAACTGGAATGCATTTGTCTACACGGAGAGCACTACGTTACTGTCTTCTAGAGCTGCCCAGGAGATGTGTTAAGTGATTAAAATGGGGACACTGTGTAAGCAAAACAGAGTCTTTAACTTTGACAGAAATACTTTGCTTTCAGGAATTCCTCTTGAACTGCTTGCTTGTACCCTTTCATATGCTTGCAATCGTGCTCTAGTTTGCAGTTCTTTAATCTGTCCTATATTGCTACCGTCTCTTCATTTGTAGTGCTTTGACTAGGGTGCACTTAATCTTGTTCTGTTCCTGGCAGGTTGCAGTAGAGCAGGAACTTGTAGTATATAGTTGCGTTTATTTATTTATTTGCTCGTTTTGCATTAATGCTTGTGTCATTGTATACACAAAAAATACTCATTCTCTGCCTTGCCCCAGCATCTAGGTTGTACAAGCCATAGATAATAGGGCAGTTTTATAATCTCTTGAATTTGAGGTAACAATTTTATCTTGAAAAATGCAATTGCAAGCTAGAAATAACACTGAGACTGTTTCCTTTAGTGGCAAAACTTTCCTCATGTAGAAACATAAGCCTGTGTATGGTCAGACCAGGGCTTTTGTGGTCTCTTTTTTGAGAATTTTCTTCCTGGCTGTTTGAGATTTGGTATCAATTTCCTGACAGGAAGGCCGTGAAGGTCCCCCTGTTTCCCCAGTTTGGGAGGCTGCACTTTCCAATGGCAATGACTGAACTCTGCGTAACTTTTTGCTGTCATTATGGCAGTTAGGCTAGGATATAAATCCCTTCTTTCCCCTCCAAAAAAAAATTCAAATTTGGGAAACTTTCTTTGTTCCCTTTCTATCTTACCTTTCCTAAGTCTGTTTTCACTGTTGCCCTTGTCTTCTCTTGAATCTGGCAAGATCAAAGTGCATAAGACCTTGAAACAGGGTATTCACTCACCAGTCAGTGCTTAGAAAGAAGTGATTAATGGTGGTTGCTCAAAATATTGGGGAATTTTGGTAGGTGCAACAGCAGAAATAGAGGCCTGCAGAACTCTGTGCTTTATACACTTCACAAAGTAGGACCTATGACTAATCCATACCACTGTCATTTTTGGGACCTGAATGACCTAAACAGCTTAGTTCAGCCCAAAATAACCATCTTAGTCTGGCTTTCCTGCAAGTGGCATGACTGTAGATTGAACTCGCTTCCCAGGAATATCTGCATGTTTTAGGGATGTTCTACCTGAATGTGGGGTTTTGTGCAAAGCAATAAAATGAAACTTGAATTCTCTTGTTATACAGCTATTGTTCCTGTAAACTGTGGAATGATTTAGCTTTTATGTGCTAACATATTGGGTAGTAGCTTCATTACAGTTATTTATAGAAATGTGAGTTATATTGATCAATATATCCAAACCTTTTCCTAAGAGTGCTTGCACTGTATTACTTTTAGAAAAGGGCAGCTCTAAATTCAGAATTATTTTTGCAGTCTATGTTTATCTAGCACAAGCAATGATTTCTGGAAAAGGGCAGCTCTAAATTCAGAAATTCAGATAAACAGTCTGTGTTTATCTAGCACAAGCAATGATTTCTGGTTCTGTTTTTCCCTTTTCTTCCCTCACAAAAGATATAAGAGTCAGATGAAAACGGTTGGGTTTTCTGCCACTCTTTTGATCAATAAAACATGGTGCCACCTACTAAGAGTAGCAAGGGGCGCTGCACCGCCGCAGAAAGGGCATCAGGCAGGAGCAGCGAGTCGCTCAGGCTGTCTGTTGTCAGATCACTTAATCAGGTAGATTAATGCTTGCTGAGCTGGGCTGACTCTCTGCAGAGATGCTGCTCTGCAGTTTGGAAGTTCTTCACAGTGTGAAGGGTTGAGTGTAGCTGCTGCTCTGTTGGTGCAGTAGTTTTGCATGAGGAAGCTGGGGACGCAGTTCCCCGTATTTGATGCTGTTCTCCCTTAACTGTGTGTAATAGCCATAGTTTCCTTGCTGGCTTTACACATCTTAAAGTGCACCTGTTTAATTCTCAGCTGGCTGCAATCTGGGAGAAGACACGGCAAAAAAGCGCCAGCCGTCCCAGTTGCGGATAACTTAACACCTTCAGGAGCAGGCTAGGGTTTTGCTGCGATGCTACTGTAGTACTTTTGACGAAGCATCCAGTCTGTGAGACTTTGCTTCAGTGTGGGTACTGCAAACCACCATGGGCAGTGGGCATTTGCATGGCCCTTCCCTACAGAGCAGAGACACCTCCAAGGAAAAGGACGTGCCCGTGGTGAGATAAATGGGCACATAACGTTTGTTCTTTTTCTTGCTTCCTGAAGCCTGCCCCAGCTGAGTGATTCTGCACCCATGGTGCAGGCTTGCCTGGGGCTTGGTAGGGGCAGACTGTTCTTGGGCTGCTGCTGTCGCAGGCAATCTGGGGGTCTCTCTTGTTTGGGGTAGGGGAAGGGGAAAAAAAAGAAAAGAAAAACAGCTTGTAACTGCTTCAGGTGACTTGTGGATGATGCAGGGAGGGAATTTGTGGCCCACAGTGAAGATAGCTATTGCTATACTGTGTGCACCATTTCTCTGCTACAAAAGCAGAGTACAGAAGCATCTTTGAAAGTGGCTCAATTGCTTATGAAAGGTGAGCGTCCTCACGCCAGCAGCAGGCAGCAGAGAGGTGTGCTTGGCGACCCCCTCAAGCTGCCCTATGGCTTCCTCTCCAAGCTTGTCTAACTTCTTGCTTCCTCCAACAACATTAGCTACCACTACAGTCCCTCTGCAGACTTGCTTCTTCGTGGTAACTGGAGATAAGTTTTCTGAGCTCATCGTGGTAGGGACCAGACCTCTGTTCATTCGCAAAGGCTCTGTCCCTTGGGCTGGGGATGCTGCTGGAGCTCGGGGACATTTGGTCCTGTTTGTCCTGGTGAAGTGCCAGCCTCGCGAAACAGAGCAGAGAGGAGGCTGCAGAGAAGGCCAGAACGTTGTCCTCAGTGAAATATTCACCTGCTGGTTCATGGTGCCTTTTGAAATGCCACTAAATTAAATGTTGTGTTCTGGTCAAGCAACGTCTGCACTGCTAGAGGTAGTATGCAAGACCACTCCTGTAAGACTAATATATAGCAAAGTCCATTGCTGTCTATTTTAGTGACTAAACAATAGCTCTTTTTTTCCTGTATTTGAAAGTCTCTTAGCTTTTGACAAAAGCTTAGCTTTTATCCTGTGCTTCCTGCTGATCACTGTATGAAGCTTTGAATTCTTCCCAGTAGTGTACAGTGCTACACACTTCATAGCACTGTGCTATATGAACGTAGTTAGACACTTCTGTGTTCAGGGCGAAGCTTGCACCCCAGCGCTCTTTGCCTTTCAAAGCTTTTCAGCTCCTGCAGCTTTTATCGTTACAGTAGACAGGTTTAATAAAGATCTATTTTTCTCTCCTCCAAGGAGGATTTGTTTTGATCACCCCGTTTGCTTTCTCTTTCCTTCAGTGATGGGGAGGGAAAGAAGAGAACCTCGGCGGCCTGCAGCAGCGAGGCTCTAAATGCAGCGGGGGCCCCGCTCACGCCGCGCCGCATCTCCTGGCGGCAGAGGATATTCCTGCGGGTCGCGTCTCCTCTCAATAAATCTCCTGCCAAGATGCAGCATCCAGGTCTGTGTGCGCTCCTTAAAGGAATTAAGATGATGTTGCTGAATGCTTATTACTGAGATGAACTATAACACGTAAAAAGGCAGAAGGAAAAAGGAGGTCATATCTATTTATATATATATTTTATGCTCTTGCTATAACCCCCCATTAGGTGGGTTTGGATCAGTTGGGTTTGGCTCTGTTACTTTGAACAGATGATTCAGTCATCAAAATCAAATGAATTGCACTCTGCTGTGGCTCCACTGATAGCAAAGAAACTAGAAATTGCCTTTTGCTGGCAAAAATATCCTCTTTACCAGATAGCATTTTTTTTGCTTTAGCCTCCTTATGTAATAGCAGTGTTTGCAGCAGCCTGGGTCATTTCTCTGCCTTGTCCTTGGACTACGGTACGTAGTGCCTTTTGAGTGGGTTGTTAACTCTTGCAGCTTTAGGTCCAATAAGCAGGAAACTTCTGAAGTATCTGAAATCATGGCATAGTGGATGTAATGCAATAGTATAACTGCCAGCCCTACATTGATGGCCAACTATTTAGTGGCCATGAAACATGTTCTACCTATGCTGCAGCTTAGCAGGTGGAGGAAGTTGCTTTTTTGTGATAAATCCTGTGATAAATCACCACATTTAACAAGCTCAGCAGTACAGGAGACTATGGATAAGTGCTTGTTTGTAACTAAGAAGCTAGCTGGGGACAGTGTCAAAATACTGGGCAACCCTAATGCTTTAATAAAAAATATTCCATTGCTGAGCTGTGTTCTCTGCTTTGAAGCAAGTGCCTCACTGCTGCATGGTATTTCCATTCTGCCGTGACACCGAGGTGTGTGAGGTGCCAAACAGCCTGTTTCCTGTAAGAGCTCTTGGGTTCTTTGCAGACGGTCACGAGGGAAGAGAGTTGCTGCCGTTATCGCCTCTCGCTCCGCCGCTGGAGGAGGACCCTCTGCTTCTGGTCATGCAAAACGAGGATGGCCCCGATACAGCTGGAGAGAGGAAGAACTCGGAGGAACTGCAGAGTCTCTGGAGAAAAGCCATACATCAACAAATTCTCTTGCTTCGAATGGAGAAAGAAAACCAAAAACTGGAAGGTTAGCTATTTAAAAATTTCCCGTGAAAGCCTTTATGAATTTGGCTGTCAGACACTGAAAACTGTGCTGGTGTTGGGCACCTCAAACTATGGCTGTGAAACTCTTTGGTTAATGCTGCTAACAAATATTACCAAATGCTCTTTTTCTTTCCTTCCCTCCACCCCTCCCCACCTTCTCTGCATAGCCCTATCTTAGTTTGCTACATTGCCCTTTTATTAAAGGTAATCTTAGTTAAAGGAGGCATAAGTCACTATGGTGGATGTACATATTCTACCCGACTAAATCAGGGAATTCTAATGCGAAGTGGAGTCAGGAGAACAGGCTCCGTGTGAACATTTAAGAAAGGTGGACCTTACCCTTTGTGTTTCTTTTTGGCTCTTTGCAGCCCAGCCACAAATTACTTAAATATCGTGCATTGTAAGAAGTCTGTGGTGATTCTAACCAGGCTTCTTCTTTGGTCCCTCATCAACCAGGTTTTTGAGCAACTGGCTCTAGCTATGTCAAAAAATCTTTTTTTTTTTTTGTTTTGTTTTGTTTTGTTTTCCCCAATATGAGCACTGTATACTGAATTCTGTTAGCTTGGCCAGCTGCAGATGCTTGTCACTCTCAGAACTTTTGAATAATCCATGTTGTTATGGCTAGTCATGACTCATACAAATGAAAGATTGGATGTAATATCTGTCAGTATGTAAGTTTTTGACTACAGTAAAATTTTATATGCCTTTTTTTTTTTTAATGCTGCCCCATCTTCTCCTGTGTGGTATATAACCACATTATATGGTAGTCTGATTCTTCAACATAATATTATAGCCTTGTAAAGCTCATTTCATTCTTTGTTTACTGATCCTTACTGGGAAGGCGAAGGAAGGAAGGAAAAATAGCATGATGTGTCTTTTCGTGTCCCTTATGCATATGTCCTGGATGCACTTCCTACGTATGTGGCATGTTACTCTGTCCATAATTTCTTCAATGTCTTCCTGTTAAGACATACTTCCATGGAAAGCTCTGAGATTGCAAGGTGGGGAGACTGTCATAGTGTAGTATGAGTTGTTGAGGGGCAAACTTTTCCACATTTCCCACCCACGTGTAGCTGGGGGTACTGAAGGCAGATAGTCTTTCCAGTTCCTCAGCTGGAAACTTCTGTGCTTCTGTAACTGATTTGAAGAAAAATGTTAGCATGCCTGGTCGCTGGTAGTGAAAGCGAGTGTGTCAGCAGTGGAGGCTGAGCTGCCAGCCATGGTTTTCATCTACCAACCTGTGTCTTCACTAATGCTCCCAGAAGCACATCTGCATTCTCATACGGAGGATCTTAAGCCATGCTGTTGAACTGGTGCTCTCTTAGTCTGCCCTTGTTGAGCAGAATTGATTGCCTTAATTTTCTAAGGGTGGGAAGTAAACCTTAACATCTGTGTCTGGGCTTCCTCCCTGCGGGCTGCTGAAGCACCAGCCTGGGTCTTTGCATGGACAGCACATCTTCAGGGCTGAATCAGGCAGTGGCTGGTGCCCCGGCCTGCAGTTAAACACAGCCCTCAGGAATGGTCCCTGTAGAAACAGAGATGGCCGAAGCGTTTTCTTGAAACCTCACTCCTAGGTGTGTATTTGTTTAGTTGTTTATGATGGATTGAAGACTAGAATTGCTATGAATGGTTTGCAGTGGTTTTCTGTTAACGTTTTGTTGGTTTTATTAACAAAATATTAATAGAATCTTTTTTTCCTGTTCCTTTTGCTGTCGAGGAGACTTGAATACTATTAGCTCTTTATTTTACAGAAGGTAAGTTTTGTGAATTACATACCCCTTGCTTAATCCATCTCTGAGCAGCTAAAAGCTACTTATTACAGTAGATCACCTAGAAATATAATAGCTCTAAAGTGCTGCAGGCCACTTAAGAATAGCCAGGCAAAGCAGGCTAAACTCCTGTAAAAAGAGAGCAGGGAGTTTTCTTCAAGGACTGGCTGACTCCACAGATCATGGCAAATGAGAGATTAACTCAGTTGCAGCTTTCAGAGATCACACTGCAAAACACACAATTCAGTCCAATGAGTATTAGGCCCATCTCTGTCAATTAAGACACGTTCATGTCTTGATTCCAGTTTTCATACTTGAAGTAGTGTGAGGAAATGAAGTGTTTTACTATGTGCATATCATGTATAATAAAATAGCTACCACAGCTTCTCTCTCAGTAATAGAAACGAAAGCTGCTCCTCCATGAAATTTTAGAGTTCTACTTCGTTCTACTTCAGAAATAGTAAGTCCTCTGGAATAAATTCCCTGTCTTGGATAGTCTTATTCAGCAGACCTCTGAAGTGTTCATCAACGTGTATTCGGTGCTAAGCACGGAGGTACCTTTTTCCACGTGGTTCACATTGGGTATTTCATTCACTGCTAGGCTCCCTGAGGAAGCCAAGTAGCTCTGCTAACAGCCCTTACTCTTAAGGGACATCCAAAATGACACTTGTCACGCCATGATTTTTACAAGACTTGCCTAGATTGCTTGCTAAAATACCTAATGCAAGCATTTATATGTTTGGGACTTTCCATACTAAAGCCATTACAATGTTCAGTATAAACGAGGGAAAAACTGTCCAAGGTGTGTTCTTGCAGAAGCAGCAGATGTGGTGTAGCCTCGTGGAGTGGGTTTTTCTTCTTGCTCCAAGCTTTTAAAAAAATAAAAAATAAAATAAAATAAAACTCATGTGCTTGAATTCCTGGTGTTCATGGCTCAGCAATACAAGTCAGATTGGTGTCTGCAGCAAGACCCCATCTCGCTATCAACTGATGAGCTGTACTCATGCCTGATCAGCTAGAGATGTGTAACATGAGTGTGCTCTGCGTGCCTGATGTCTCTTGTAATTTTCCAGTGTTTGTTTCCTATGTGCTCTTCCCTTATTTTCTGTGCTCTAGCAAGCAGAGATGAGCTCCAGTCAAGAAAAGTCAAACTGGACTACGATGAAGTTGGTACATGTCAGAAAGATGCCATCAGCATTTGGGATAAGAAGTTACTGAACTGCAGAGCCAAAATCCGCTGTGACATGGAAGATATTCATGCCACGTTGAAAGATGGTATTTATGTAGAATGCCTTTTTAACTACAGGAATCTCAGTATTTTCTGCTGTCCGTAGATACTGAGGAAAATCAACCAGCGGATTTTTTTTTTTTTTCCAATTGCACAGAATCACTAAGAAATTGCCTTTTGCTTTGTACATGAATGTATCTCCAAGTGCCAAATAGCAAATAGATTCTGCTATGTCTAAAACTTGCAGTTACTGAGGTAGAAGCATAACTAGAGATTGACTCCTGCAAGTAACATCTTATGCCCTTATCTGTTACTTTGAGGACTGAGCTAGGAGGTTCTGCAGCTAAAATCGTGATTTTCTGGGCCCCGCTCTCTGGAGATTCCTTTTACTGTGAATTTAAGGTCCTCTGGCTTACCTGTTCACTGAATAGGCAGGGCCACAGTGCACAATGTGGACTGAGTATGAATGCTTGGAGGAGTCTCAGCCATGATTTAGAGAATCCAAAATGCTGCAACTTGCTGAGTCCAGGCTCTTTTTTCTGATGATTTTTCTTCTGTGAAACGCCAGGACATTTTGTCTGGAAGTAGATCCTCCTTTGGCCTAGCCGTAGGAACGGCAGCTGCAGGGCTTTGTTAGCTTGACGTGGGTATATATTCTGCTTGCCCCACTACACCCTCCTTCTGGATATCTCCTGTCCTGCACCCACGGGTGCTGAAAAATGGCAACATATCAGTGTAGTCCGGCTGTGGCACAGTAGAGAAGTTTAAAACGTTAGCAGAAAAAAAAATGCAAGAAATAGGTGGTTCCCATGAGGGAGCTGCAGGAGAATGCCAGCAAGCTGCTGGGTCTTCTGCCAGGCTGCCATTTGGCACCAGGAGAAAGGAGATGCTTTTTCCAACTTGGGCCCTTATTATGTCTGTTTGCAATTTATTATTTATCAACAGAGTTGGCAATTTCTTCTGGGTTTCTAAAATCAATTTAGAGAGTTGGATATTGAAGGGGGGGACTGTACATGAAAGTTCAACAATTGTGTTTTCATGTAGGTGATACTTTCACAACTGCTTGGATGACTAGAGAGAAATGTTTTGTTTCAGTATGAGTGGTCACGTGTCCTTCCTTTGGTGTACAGAGCTTTGAATCAAGTGTTTATTCTGTACATCACCTTCCACTTCTGTAGCCCTGCAGGAAGGGGAAGAGGAGGTGGCCCTCCCTATGTTTTTACACCCGTGAAACTCTGCACTCTGCCTCTAATCATCTGTTGTTGAAGGCTAGAGGTTCAATTTTTACACCCGTGAAACTCTGCCTCTAGTCATCTGTTGTTGAAGGCTAGAGGTTCAGAGGTGGCAAAACAAATAGTGCTGGCACCTCAGCTGCACAGGGTACTGCTTAGTTTAATTATATTTAAATAAGTTTGCAGTTCATAACCAAGCTGGTTATGCCCAGTTGTGACAGGCATGCAAGGACCTTCACAAAGCAAGTTCTCGTGTGTCATTGTTGCGAAAATGCAGCCCTGCTTAGACCTCTTGTTTTCTGTCTGCCCTGCAGGTGTACCCAAAAGTCGTCGGGGAGAAATCTGGCAGTTTTTGGCTGTGCAGCATCGAGTGAGACACAGACTGCCCAACAAGCAGCAGCCCCCTGACGTCTCCTACAAGGAGCTGCTGAAGCAGCTGACGGCCCAGCAGCATGCCATCCTCGTAGATCTAGGTGTGTCTGAGGCTGAGAGGTTTCCTAACCCCTTTCCTGCATCTCTGAGTGGAAAGGTAGAGCCAGGTGCTGCTGTATCAACAGCAGTTTCTGTATAGGGAAGATATGGTGTGTCTTTGCCACTTGCTATCCTGTGAACTGGTGAGTGGTCGGACTAAAGTCAACCTGCACGTGACAGGTCTATGGGAGGAGAGGGAGTCTGCTGGTCTGGTGAGGTTAATTCCTTTCCTGAGGAGGCCTAGATGTTAACTGCTCTCCCTCTACACCAGGACGGACCTTCCCTACCCATCCTTACTTTTCTGCCCAGCTGGGAGCAGGACAGCTCTCGCTCTTCAATCTCCTGAAAGCATATTCTCTGCTGGACAAGGAAGTGGGCTATTGCCAAGGTATCAGCTTTGTGGCTGGAGTGCTGCTGCTACACATGAGTGAGGAGCAAGCCTTTGAAATGCTGAAATTCCTCATGTATGACCTGGGTTTCCGCAAGCAGTACAGGCCAGACATGATGTCGCTACAGGTAAGTCAGTCTAGTAAAGCAATCCACAATTTTAAATGAGGTTTTAAACGCCCAGTGGTTACTCATGTTTCTCTAGGGGCTTATGAAGCTTGTTGTGCTATTTTGGAGGTTGTGATGTATGCACAAGCATTTTTGCAAGTTCAGAACCACAGAGGAGTTTGACAGGCAAATTAAAGAAGTTTAGAAGTTGCAGACTTTCCTGTCACACGTCCCTATGATCTTCAGTTTGGAAACTCTGCTTTCTCTGCTGTTTTGCTCTTCCTTTTCGCTTCCTTGCTATTCTCTCTTCCTTATTTCAAAGAAAACTATCTGCTCGCATCTGTATAGGCAGCGTTTAAAAATAAGTTTGTTTTTATTCAGGCCATAGACACTTAGATGTAGAAGATTTTTTAAATTTTTTGTTCAGTAACCTCAAGCCAACCGCATAGTGCCACCCAGCGGCCAGTCAGTGCACGCCACAGGGCACTGCTACTTGGCACCTCTGGTTTAAACGGTCAATATTAGCCCTTGGATACATGCTGTAGCTATGCATATGCAAGGCCTCTTAGGAAAGAAACAGAAAATCTTCCAAACCGGTCTAAACTGGGAGGTTTCATGTTTGAGGAACCTTGTATCTTGAGATGCAACTGCCTACTGACTCGCATATGTGATTTATGCCCCTAATGTTACAAAGGGATATACATATCACTGCTGATCTGAGGCTTCTAATTCACAGTGAAGGAAGAGGGTGCTAAGAAGTAGATGCAAAAGTCACATTTCTATAAGGCTCCCTATGACTAAGTTAATTTTAAGGGGGGGGGGGGGTGAGGAGTGTATTCAATCCACTTTGCTTGATCAGTAATTTAGGCACTTATTTGGCAGATGTCCAGCATGGCAGAACAGATTTTAGTTAGAGATTGTGTAGTGCTTTTCAAAATGGTTGAGGAGTGTTTCAGTACAGACTAGGTATCCAGTAATTTAGGTACTTGTTTGGCAAATGTCCAGCATGGCAGAACAGACTTTAGTTAGAGATTGTGTACTGCCTTTCAAAATGGTTAAGAGGAGTGTTTCAGTACAGACTAGGTATTTACCTATGCCATGACTGCTTTGTTATGAGGAATTTAAGGTTTTCACCTTAAATAACCATTAAAAAAAACTCTGAACCAGTGATGATTGAAATATAATAAATGTATCTTTTTCCTCTCAAGAAACCATGCATTTGCGTGTTATACTGCATCTGTGGACTCTTTCAATAATTTATGATGCTTTTTGGGGCATTCAGATATTCAACATTTCTCCTGCTGTGACTTAAATGATCCTGAAACATTCTGTAGGAAGAAAGTACCATTTTCAGTGTTTGTGAAGGTTTACAACCTGTTGCACTGTTTGCCTTTTAGATGAGGTGGCCCCTCTTCCCCATGGTTGGCTCCTAGCACTTACCTGTTTGAGCAACAGTATGAGTTTTGCCTGCTAAAGACAGACTAGGCTGTTTATGGTGACTTAGTAGATCTAGTTAAAGCAAAATCCTTTGTTTTGTTTTGTTTTTAACAGGATTAGAGCATTGTGAAGTCCTTGTACTTACTGCACCAAAACATGAGTCATCCCATGCACAGAATTAACTTCTTTCCTACCGAAGAACAGTGTGGATATTTATTTAGGATAAAGAAAACTTTTTTTTATCTTTTTTTAATGTCAAGTTGTATGGGGAAAGAAAAAGTAGTAATCCAGACTCTTAGTTCATTATGAACCTACACAATAACTGGTTTGATAAACCCATCCAGTAACTGTTTCATGCCTCTGTAGTATTATTCTAGTTTCTCATGTAAATGCGGGTCATAGCAACACTCTCCAAACTATACTTAACTAGTAGCTTTGCCAGTTAAACCAAAGACTCAAATGCATGTGCAAATTTAGTCAATTGGCTTGAAAGAAGTGATGGTGCAGTGGATAGATGAGGAGTTTCCAGTACTGTCAACCTGTGGTAGGGAAAAATCATGGCCACTAAAAGTAGGAAGGTAACTAGATTCTGAAAGTCATTTTATCATTGAGGAATGAATTCATGTTAAGCATAAGGCACTACTGACAGCAAAATTTGGCCTGGCAGATAATCAATATATTCCTGCTTCTCCATTTCTGCTTTCTGTGTCACTGTGTGCTAAGAGTGACTTATTGTGAAGTGTAAACCGTCAAAATTGCAAGGGAGTAACTTGCTACAGAATAGTATTTTTAGGAATGAATATCAGCTTGTCCCTATTCTGCTTTGCAACCTTTAACAAGTTGTGTAGCAGCACTTATTACATCAGTATCGTGGATTGCCATGGCCTGTTGGCATGAGGGACGTGCTGGGAAGTGCATGTGTGCTGTGCCTCTGTTAACCCCCTGCATTTAATGCATCATGTGCATGCAGTAGTAGTCTGAAGTGACAATCGCAGCAGAAGAGTCTTAAATACAGCAGCAACACGGCCAAGATTCAAAAGGTGAAAGCTGAAGTGTGTAAACTTAGCCAAGAAATAGTTAAGCTCTGTGACTGAGCATTTTGGCATCTTGAAGTTATGTTACTTGGGTGCTTTTACTTCAATTACTGCCAGACTAAGTTCTGGTTTGTTGGCCAGGTTAGATCAATGTATTCCCTTCTTATTTTAAATCTATGAATCTGAATTTAAAGAATATTTCATTAATTAATGATTAGGTTCAAACTGGTTTTTGTTATTCTCTAGTGTGGCAGTTTTTATTCATTAGAGGTGGGATGTTTATATGTGGGTAGATAACGTCTGAGGCCCTAGCCAGCAATTAAGCTTCATTCCGTATTGAAGTTAATTTCCCTGGAGTAATATATGAGTGGTTTGGAAAACTGAGTCAAGCTGAACTTTCTTTCTCCTTTCCTCTCCTCAATGTATTGCAGATTCAGATGTATCAGCTGTCAAGACTTCTTCATGATTATCACAGAGACCTCTATAATCATCTTGAAGAGAATGAAATCAGTCCCAGCCTCTATGCTGCACCGTGGTTCCTTACGTTGTTTGCATCTCAGTTTCCATTAGGATTTGTGGCCAGAGTATTTGGTAAGAAAGGCTATTTTAGGGCAGTAATGAGCAGAACAGCGTTGTCTAATGTGTTTTCAAACTTTGCAGGATTAGTTTTCTGCATCCTGGTGCTATTTGGCGGGGCCTGTTGTGGGTGGCAAGTAGAACCACCCCTCACAGTGAGATGTCAGTTCCTTTTCAAGAGGAAGGGAAACAACGAAATATGTTCGTTGAAGCATCGAATTTGAGCAATTAAGTGCTTGCTATTAGCCAAGATTAGACCTCTGAGTGTGAACAGCAGAAGCTGCCACAAATGTGTTTAACACTTCAAACATTCAATCTATTCCAATATACAATTTTATCTTGTTGAACTTGGAAATTAAACTTTAACATAGTGGTGGGGAGTGGGATGGAATCACAGAATCACAGAATGGTTGAGGTTGGAAGGGACCTCTAGAGATGCTCTGGTCCAACCCCCCTGCTCCAGCAGGGACACCTAGAGCACGTGGCACAGGGTGGCATCCAGGAGGGTTTGGAAGATCTCCAGAGAAGGAGACTCCACGACCTCTCTGGGCAGCCTGTTCCAGAGCTCACACCCCTGCTCCCTACTGTGTGTCACCCTCACAGTATGGAGATTAAACTCCTGTGTTTTAATTTGTACCCATTACCCATTGTTCTGTCACTGGCCACCACCAAGAAGAGTTTGGCCCCATCCTCCCTACACTCACCCCTCAGCTACTTGAACGTGTTGATCAGATCTCCTCTTAGTCTTCTCCAGAATAAACAGGCCCAGCTTGCTTAGTCTTTCCTTATAAGATAGATGCTCCAGTCCCTTAGTCATCTTTGTTGCTTTACGTTGGGCCCTCTCTAGAAGCTCCGTGTCCCTCTTGTACTGGGGAGCACAGAAGAGCACCAACTTCTCTGCCCAACTCTCCAACCTGTCTAGGTCCCTCTGAACGTGCTGGTTTTCAAGAAATTACAATAATATTTTTTCCTAACAAAAATTCAAGTAAACTTGTACTTGAAGGTTGTTTCAGGTATTTGGATATATGAAATGATTTCCTAGTGTTAGTATGCTTCATTTTCTGTTTAAATAATTTTCTTTACTGTTTATTCTCTTCAGATAACATCTAGTACAGAAGCTTAGACACAGTAAAGAAGTTTGAATAGCGCTACTGTACCTTGTAGTATTTGCAATATCATGATGACAATTGCTTAGTTTTGTATTTTTTTATTGTGAATAAAAACTGCAAAGTTAAATCACTACAAACGCAGCACTTGCTTGTTGGGGGTAGTCAAACCTCACGACATTCAGGCATGCATTTAGGAAGCAGGAGTATATATTGTGTGCTTCCTCTCAAATTGGATTTTCTTTTCGACTTACTTGTCTGTTTCTGTAAAGCACTTGCATTTTTGTAAGAAATTCAGACTGACATTTATTGTATATTTTGTTACTGAAAGGGCGTTATTCTTTTCTCCCACCTAGAGTTTTTTTCCATTCCAGTGTTTGCATAAAACACTTTCTGATTGCTTTGGAGGCACATATGATTTCTGGATTTGTTTTCCTATGGGATTATTGAATTCTGGACCTGTTTGAGGCTTTGCTCTTTGTGTCTCTCCTCCCCTTCCCCTCCAGGGCTAAAATACCTTTCTTATCTTTTTGGTTTTGTTTCTTGTCTCAGTGAGCTCCTCAGCAGTCATAGGGGAATATAATTCAACTAACTTTATTAACAGTTAGTTAATAGTCTATAATCTACAGTAGACATTAATGAAATGTTATTGCAGATAACTGTTACAGGCATAATGGTACTTTCAGCATACGGTACTTTCAGTGAACTCTTATATCTCTAAGGTGGCAGAAAATGTTTTTCTTTAACCTCATACTAAGAAAGATCTATTGGACTTATGAGCTGAGTGAATCTGCCATATGTTTGCTTACAAAGAAAAATAACCATCCCAGCAAATGTCTATTGCATTTCTTTAGTTCTTGTTTTCAAGGTGTTTTATTGTTTTTCTTTTTTAGACATTATTTTCCTTCAAGGAACAGAAGTCATATTTAAAGTAGCACTGAGCCTGCTTAGCAGTCAAGAAACATCTATAATGGGGTGTGAGAGTTTTGAGAATATTGTTGATTTTCTTAAAAGCACTATTCCAGACATGACTCAGCCTCAGATGGAAAAAATCATTACCCAGGTAAGGTTGGTTTTGCTTGTTTTCTTTTTTGTTTGTGTTTTCTTCATTCTGTTTGTTTTTAAGAGATTTTGTCTATGGCAAATATAGAAGGTGGTCCCCGTATGTTCCTTTCCCAGTTGCTGAGGTGTGAAATACAAAGGAGTCATCTTCCCCGGAACTTGTATAAAAATAGAACCTAATTTCAAAAATGACTGAAATTAAAGCATGCTCGGGAATTTAGTTCAGTGTTAGTAGAGAAGATATTTTTAAGATTATTTTCTGCCTGGCTGTTGGAAAACTGTGACTTTGCTTGTAAGCTTCACATCATTGTCAGCAGGGTAAAAATCGCCTGTTTTACAACCCTAGGCCCTGCTCATGGTGGTTGTTAGCAGGCAGGGAGCAGAACTCATCATGATGGGAAGAGCTAGAGTTAACAGAAGGTCTCTAATGAACACTCTCCATATGCAGGAGCTTGCTTAGTGCTGTTCACACCTTGAATGTTTGAAGGGCTGTCACTTAACAATCCTTTTGCAGACACTTCTGCGAGCACCTCCCTGTAGTGTAAATTGGTAACTCCTC